AGATATATATTTACAAAGTATGAAGCAGAATATTATTATTGAAATAATTATCGGTTCTTAATAATAGGTGTCCCACTGTTAAACGCAAACCTTCAAAACAAGAAAAATTTATCAAGTTTCAAAAACTTGAAATTTTTCTATTTAATCACAATATAATTTAAATAGAATATATGCATTATGTAGAAAAGAGTTCAAACTTTATGGTAATACCAAAAAGTGTCCAAAAATATATAACATTGAAAAAAAAGTGTTCTTATGCCATTTTGAATTGTCTAGATAGAGAAACGCAATGTTAAACAAAGAAGTACTTATATTATATTCCTTGGTGTAAGAAGGGAAATTATGCGTTACCTATTCAGTTTTAGACTTTCTTTATAGCTGTTTTACGTGATAAAGACAGAAAGAAATAATTACCTGGGTCCTCAGAGTTATTAATTAATCCTCTTTAACAGATTGCAGGTCAAGCGAACCCTCATTTGCAAAATAAAGATATATCTTTCTCTCTCTATAACTTGTTCTTTTCTCTGTCACCGAAAACCCAGCAGGGGTCCGGACTGAATGAATGAATACCAAGATTATTATAGTTAATTATAGCCAAGCCAAGTCACCAACCAATGTAGAGCTGCGCTTGCAAGATGACCACTGCGAGTCCGCTTTGTCACCCTGACCAGCCGCCGATACTGGGGATCCGAAATCCTGCATCGTAAAACGTTTCCTACGTGTGTCTGCTATGATGGCATCAAAGCCGTGATCCATGGACTTAGCCGGTTCACGGATTTCTTCTGTTGCCCGCCGTCACCACGGGAGGTGCTCTGGATGCATACACACAAGAAATAGGGTATTACTTGACTTTTCTGTCTCTAGTCTTCTTGGAATTAGAGCACTTTAAATTCAAAACCAGCGACCCCGAAACCCCCCGAATAACAAGTTTCAAGCGAATGTAAAGAATTTTTCTAAAAAGTGTCCGCCTTATTGAAAGTTGAAAAAATAATATCAGATTCGTAATTTAGCGACCCCGAAAACCCGCGAGTAACGAGTTTTAAGCGAATCCGATGGATTTTTCCAAAAAGTGTGCGCCATATTGGTTTTTGAGGTTAAATTGAAATCCTGATCGGATGGGGTCAAATGTACACTAGATTCGGATTCAGCGACCCCAAAAACGTATAGTAAACATAGTCAGACCTCCAGGTCGGAACTTTTTTTTGTGTGGCTGTGTTTTTATTATATAAGTGTTCAATATACTAATTTTAATTTATTATTTAAATAAATATTATTTTAATTTTTTAATTAAAAATTGGGTTTTGAGTGAGAAATACAAACATGAGAGTGTGATTTGAATGGGATATCCCGACTTTGGGAAGTCAAGTTGGGGCCAGATTGGGCAACTTTGAGAAAATTTCCACACGGATTATAATATACTTTGGAAATTTTTTAGAAAATGTGTAACGTTATTGCTTTATCATATTTTAGAATTTTCTATAAAAACTCAAATCAATTAATTCAATAATTTAAGAATAAAGTTCCTAGATAAATTCACATTGCTGTTTTAAATTAGCACGTGGTTAACAGCTAATCGAATCATGGCAAATATTTATTTGGTAAATGTACACGGAGAGAAAAATTAGCCTTTTATAATATAGAAAACTTTACCTTTAACGCGCAAAACTTGTCTGTGCTGATAAAGTTTGTCATGTAGCCCCTTATAGTATACTTATTATACCGTAAATGCAGCCGCGCCAAGCGGAGATCGCACCTAGCTCATCCTACTACGATTGCAGAAGTTCTATGCTTTTTCGGTATTAGACTCTTGCAACAGACCATTTCATGCTGATCGCTTTGTCCTTATCTAGCGCTTATAATGACGCATGAGTTGGAAGAGGACAGAATGACCAGCATGAAAAGGTCTACTGGCAAGTAGGTAGGCGTGGCCTAATAGTCAATTGCAAGGGTCTAATACCGAAAAAGCATAGAACTTCTGCAATCGTAGTAGAAGGAGCTAGGTGGGATCTCCGCTTGGCGTTCTTGCTATTATAACACATTTTTCTTACTAAAAAAGCATATATATACTATGTATCTTTGGTACGGACAAATATTATACTAAAAATTCTTAAATATTTGCTCCATTAGTAAGAAAAGTTCATACAAAAGTGAGAATAGTCAGAATAGTCTTTCATACTTTAAAGCCTTGATTATTCTCTCCGTGTAGTAATATATTTTCTTGTATTTCTTGAGTACTTTTTAAAATTAAATTATATTCAGGTGACATATAAGAATGACATATGTATTAATCAAGAGTAATCGATATGCAGCATGTTGGAAAGGATATAATAGATTCAGTAACTTAAATGATCTAATTTAGTTATTTGATCAATTGTTTAAGGGGGCAATCGCAGTTGTAGCGGCAAAAAATAGACCTTTTTTAAGAACTTTTTTCCCGTTTTAATTTTTTTAAAATATCGATTTATTATGTAAAATTACATAAATTATTAAGTATTGAAAAAGTATGTTAAATTTCATGACAATCGGTTTAGTAGTTTTCAAGTGAGAGTGGTCACCGAGTTCAAAAATTTAGTTTTGAGGAAAATGTGTTTGAAGTTTTAACTTAATTTTTCATGAAGATGGAATTTTTTTTTTGATATCAGATAGAATCATTAAATCTTGGACCATATAATAATTCTTCCACAGATGAAGCTGCTTCCAAAATCCCAATTCAAATATAAAGGTATAACGACCCACACGGCCGTTAGCCTGTTCTCGACCGGATCATCATAAAAATTTGTAGACATATTTCTGAAAACGTATACTTTAAGAAAATGCAAAAAAATCGATTTTTTGAAAGTTACAACTGCGATTGCCCCCTTAAAAGGTGTTGTTCAAATGATGATTATAAAAGAAATTCCAAACTTTATGCAAAGCAGTAACATATCACTGCAAATATATATATGTAAAATTCTGAAGCCTATCACATAACTTTAACAATCAACAATCAATGTTAACAAGCAAAATTTAATTTAAAAAACATTGTACCAGTAACGTCGAAACAAACATTTTCTATCTGGAATTAATCTATTACCGATAAATATAAAAGAAACGTGGATTATTAAAAAAAATATGGTTTAAAATTCGTCAAGCGTATACAAATCGAAAATATATAAAATGCGGTACTTCTAAACTTTTTGTTAAATAACTTTTATACAACTTATCCAAAACAAATTTCATTATACGGTGTTTTTCTCTACTTTAAGAATCTGAACTCCAACACTTTTTTTCTGAAAATTTAAAAGAAAAAAGTTTGTTCTCTTGGACATTTAAAAAGAATATATTTCTGGTTTCAAAACAAATAATTTTTGATTTACTTCAACATCACATATTTTAACATTAATAGGATCTGCATAATATTCAATTTCAAATTTTATGCTTTTTGCTTTAAAAACATTTTTGTGAAATTTGACATTGAAAGTGTACATGTCTCCTAATATGTTATGTTAAAGTACTTAAAAGATGCTATCTTGAATTTGAGGATTTATTTTATTTTATTAAAATTCAATCAACCGGCTAATTGTACCTCTGAACGCAGAAATAATCTAAATAAATTTAATTAATAACATAATAAATTTGAACATCTTTCTAAATTACAAAAGTATAAAAATTTTAAGGTAGGAATAATTTTTGCGTATGTAACAATTACGACGCCTCCTATTCATATAATGCTTATTGAAATAACAAAGCAAGATCGTTTTTATTAAATTTTTTGTGTAGTATGATTCTTACAGAAATTTCAGTGCAGGATAATTCTTATTCAAAATCACGTGCAAAATAGTATCTACTGAAGCTAGCGGCCAATACAATTTTTCTTAAATGTTAGTACAGAACAATTCCTATTCAAAATTTTGTAGAAAATAATTCTAGTGATTCATATTTAAAGGTTACTAGCGAACATGGTAAATGTTATTTGATATTAAGTGTGATAAATTAAGGTTAAATAAAAAGTTTTGTTGTTATAATTATATAAAAAAGATAGAATTCATTGAAAATTAGATATCAATTAATTGTCTGTTACTTACTGGAATTTAATTTAATTTATAATGGTTTCAAGAAAACATCACCTCATCAAGTTTGCACATATATAATTAAAAATAAGACAACAGTACACTTCTAATAACAGAAATTATGTGAAATATTAATTTGTGAAAATAAATTAAAAATTCCTAATCAAAGTGATTATACTACGTTATAAAAATAAAAACGATTTATAAAATAAAATTTTTAAACAGTTTCATTTAAAATACATTTATATTAAAAAACATACCCATTTAACTGAAATGTATACAAATACATGATAAAAATATAGTATGATCTAAGAAATCAATTAGAAAAGATTCCGAATTAACTTTTCATGTGTTTGTCATTAGAACTAAAGAATTATACACATGAATTGTTTTTTATAAACATTAGAATAAAATTTTTATTGACCGCTAGCTTCAGTAGGTATTGTTTTGCACGCGGTTTTGAATAAGAATTACCCTGCACTGAAATTTCTACAAGAATCATACTGCACAAAAAGTTCAATAAGAACGATCTTGTTTTGTTATTTTTATAAGCATTATATGAATAGGAGGTGTTGATTAGATGGAGGCATCAGGTATTACTACTAAAGGAGGTATCAGCTTTATACTGAAACTTTTTTTGAAGTGGTTACGCTTGGCTAATTTTTGCTTATATATATATTGTTCTACTTTACTGATGCATTCAAAGAAGAACAATTAAATGAGATTTAATTTTACAAATTTTGGCTATTTATAAATTAATTTAAATAGTTTTATAATGAAAATAATTTTTTAAAAGGGTTTCACTTATTAAATCCCATTTCAAAATAATTATCTCTCATTTAAATGTCCTCCTATATGACCTTGTAGAGATGGTCACTAATGATTTGACGTCTCTGTGACGTTTTCACGTGGTGAAGGTGTAAAACAGCATGACATTGCTTTGTTGCACAGGGAAACCAGTTAGTGGGTCTACAACCCACAACGTCGACACTGAGCCTCATTCTGAACCAGAACCTATATCTGAACCAGAACCTAGATCTGAACCAGAACCCATATCTGAACCTGAACCCAAATCCGAACCAGAACCCAAATCTGAATCACAACCCAAATCTGAACCAGAACCAAAATCTGAACCAAAATCCGAACCAGAACCAAAATCTGAACCAGAACCTACATCCGAACCAGAACCAAAATCTGAACTAGAATCCAAAACCGAACCAAAATCTGAACCAGAACCTAAATCCGAACCAGAACCAAAATCTGAGGCAGAACCCAAATCTGAACCAGAACCTAAATCCGAACCAGAACCAAATTCCGAGCCAGAATCAAAACCTGAACCGGAAATAAATGTGGAACCTGAACCTCATTCTAAAGTTTCTGACAAATCAGGAAATATACAAGGTAACTTGTTTCTACGAGTTTTTTTATTATTAGTATTTATACATCTTCAAGTTTTTTGTATTCTGTTTTATAATTGAAACTTTAATAATAATTCAAGCTGTTTGAACAAAAACGTTTAAAATTCCATAATTACAGTTCCTGTGAATTTTAACCTTTTTATAAGATTACTTTTTAAAAAAACCTTAAACTTACTGTTCTTAAATAGCTGGTGCTGGACCATTTATACACAAGTATACTCCACGGCACGATTTTAATCCAATGGACTGCACTGATATAGTAATTGGTATGGCTCGTGGGATGAGACACAAAATTGGCGATTATTACACCAGAGATAGATCTACTCCTCGCTTAGATAGTTTCTGGGGAGGTCAAGATAGTTTAACGGCTGCAATGGGATTCGAACGTGATGGAGTTACTACTATAATGTTTAGAAAAAAACTCACATCAACAGAAGGATTTACAGATCACGATATTATTGATGGTGATATGCATGTCATTTGGGCGAAGGGACAGGAACCTGGAAAATATATTCACTCTCCGCCAAGTGGAGTTGAGGAGACAAAAGTTAGTGTTAAAGATTTCTACAAAAGTGATGAACTCAAGTATCATGGTCATAAATCTCAAAGGGGTGTAGCAACCATAAACTTTCTTGGTAAGTGAAAAAAGTTAAATTTTAGTGAAATTTTGTTCTAAATGGTATCCCAAATAAAATATCGTTGACAGTTTCTTCAAAACTTAAACTGCAAGATCTTAATTTCAAAGAGAATACAAACATAATCCACTAGATAAGATCTTTGACATTGAATTCATGTCAATTTCTTAAAAGATTTTGTTTACGTAGCAAACCAATAAAAAAATAAACCTCACATGAAGGTGAAAACAATTCTCTTACTTCATGTTTTTCAGCTGTTACTTTTAAAGAAAATAATTTCCAAAAATTGTTTGATAAACCATTTGGATTATTTGAGTAAATTTAATCTGAATCCCCAATTTTTAACTTCATACTTCCCCCTTCAAAAAGTACCCATAATAGAATTTCTATCTTTGAATTTTACTAGCGAAACAATTATACTAACCTAAATTTGTGAAACTAATACAATTTTTTGATTCATTCAGTAGCTAGAAAATTTTTTAAGGGGTTATGCGCGTCAAATAGTACATATTTCGATGTACTTGTATATATATTTTTATTAAAAAATATTAATAATTGTTGAAACTGTAAACCTTGTACTAAAATACCTTTTTTTGATAACTGCTTGCGGTAACTGCGATAAGTCAGACATAGTTTAACTAAAAGTAAAAAAACAATGGAAATTTCGTTACTATATTATATTACCTCGTGCATGAACGAAGGATTTTGAAAAAAAACATTTTCTAGAAATTACTTCGTTCACGCAGTAGCTATTGTATTAATAAAGAACCTTTGAAATTTTCAGCTCGATCGGTTTAGCGGTTTTAAAATAATCACAGTCACCGTAACCGTAGTTCTCAAAAATCACGGATCCGAGATAATAGCCTTTAAAGTTTCAAGCGTATATATTCTTCTGTGAGAAGTAGCGGATTAAAACAGCCATAACTTTGATTCTAATACTCCGATTTTAATAAAATTTTTAAAAACATTCTCGAGAATATGTACTTTTGATAAATGCAATAAAAAAATCAATTTTTACTGCGTAGCGGAATCTTCGTAGAGCTATTGCTATTTGTATTCCCACTACTGGATACAAATAGATAAAAAAAATTGACAAAATTGAATTAAATAAATAAAATCCTACGCGACGTGATATTGTCGATTGAGGAAAGAAACACGCCAATTCAGGTGAGTGTTGAGAAAAATGACATTCTAGAAAATATTTTTGAAACCTTTCATTCCAGTAAAGATTTGAAAAACATGCCATCTCAGATGTCAAGGTTTTATTGACTGTGTTAGGTTGGTAACACTATAAATGAGAAGTTGTTTAATAAAAAAAGTAATTATTTTGTTCTTTCAATATTAAGTTCAATATTAAGTCGCTAAAAATTTTAACCTGACATTTCAAAACTATTAATTAAAAAATTTCTTTCAAAAAAATCTTTCAAGTAAATAATTAGATTGAAGAAAACATTCAATCTTTTATCGAACAGCTTCTTATTTATAGTGTTCCCAACTTAAAACAGTAAACAAAAAGTTGTCGTCTGAGATTGCAGTATTTTTAAATATTTTCTAGAATGTCATGTTTCATAACACTCACCCGAATTGGTGTGTTTCTTTCTTCAATCGACGACAATATCTAATGTTAAAAAATTTCGATGAGTTCACATTTTTTATTCTTGTTGCGCTGAGCTGGTTTTTAATTTATAACTCATATAAATATTGCTGTCCCAAAATTCTCTTTGAATGGTAAAAAGGTGATGAATTAAGGAACATTTTGAGGTATTTTCGAAAAAAATCAAAGAGGCATAAGGGGTTAAAAATAAAAAAAAATTTTTTTTAATTTTTTCTATTAAATATTTTATTTTAATTTTTGCGGGACATAGTTTAAAGGTTAGGAAATTCTACAGAAAAAACTTTCTGGGTGTTTTAAAATTCAATCATTCATTTTAGAGTTATAGTGGTTTGAAAATTATTTTTAAAAAAAGTTTGACCCCTGCCAGTATGGCAACCCCGTATTACACGGACCTGAAATCATGTTTTATATTTTAGTTTTTATATATACTAAAACACATATCATTGCCAAAATTTTTTTTTTAAGTGGCTTTTTTTCACACACCAAAAAGTGTGTGTAAAGAAGCTCTTTTTAAAACGGTGTGTAAAGTGATTCACTTTACGCACTGAAATTTACTTTAAACACCGAAATTTTTCTCACATAATATAAGGATTGTTTTAGACCATACAAAACCATAAAATTAAAGAAAGAACTTTACTTTTAAATTTACACACTACTGCTTAATAATATATTTCCTGATCTTCGATTGATTTATTTAATTCTGTACAATCGAAATTATTCTAATAGAGAGGTGGAATTCTTTATAATAGGTACTTAACTTTAGAGGTGGGTGTTGCAAAAAATGTTGTATGATACACGTGCGTAAATCTGATTATACTCGTGTGATTTCCATGACTCGTATAATCACTCACTTTACACACTTGTATCATAAATAAATATTATTGTATTTAAAAAATACACCCTCCCAGATAGCATATACTTTTGCAAGAGGTTTGTAGCAAGTTTTATGTGCATAGATAAATGTCGTTAGGTGTCAAGTTTGCAATGCAAGTTTGCAGGTAGCTTGTTGTGCAAGTCTGTAGATAGTTTGCTTGGTAAAATTTCATACATTTTGAGGTATGTTTAAAATTTAGAACGTTAAAATTTTTTCCGTTTCGATATTTTACAAAATTATTGTATTTCAATAGTAAATAAAAAAGTCAATATTTATTAAATAAATAATTATTAATAATAAATAATAGATATAATATAATAATATGATAATAATTAAAAATAAAATAATGCAAACTTCTTGCAAAAAGAGGTGCTACCTTGGATGGATCCTGTGTCGGATCCTTTTATGGTTCCTGCAAACGTTTCTTGGCATAAGAAGAAAGTGAAATATTTTCCTCTACATGATTTTGCGAGTGTTCTGTGTAGGAACCTTTGCATGACAATATTTTTAATAAATTTTCTTGTACGGGAACCTTCAGAAGAACCATAGTAACTAATTTTCCTGTACAGGATATCTATTCCAATATCTTGCGCTAGATCCTATAATCCTATAACTTAAAACTTTTAATACTGAATTACTTAAGAAATTGTTCTCACTGTGTTAAAGTCGGTAACTTTCAATCAACGCCGTCTGTTCCTCTCCGCGGTATTCCTCAAGGTTCTGCCTTAGGTTCTCCTCTCTTTATATCTACATTAGCAACATTATAAATACACGGAGAGAAATTTATGCTACTGGGTAACATAATGATGTTAAGGGCAACCATATTTAGTGCTAAATATACAGACAGCGATATAGATTGTAGTATTTACTATCAGATGATTATAGAAATTTGATTGTACAATTTACAATCTTTGATGTTAAAAATTTTATATACGATCTCTTTACGTTCTCGAGTGGCAAATATACACGAACCTAACCTCGCTTTTTTTGTAAACTTAAATAATTTCATTTTATTTTAATAAAACATTTCGATAAGAATTTAAACTTTAAACTTTTTACATAAAAAAGAGTATGTCTATTTTTTCACTCCGTCTATAAAAAGGACTTGCTTAAACATAAATATATTTATCAAACGGTACATTTTTTTCACAGAGTCAATTGAATTTGTATTATTTTACTAATTTTTAACTTTAAAAAAAGTAAGAAAAAATATGAAAGTTTTTTTTCCAAAAAAAAATTTCAATAAACACATGTACATTTTTACAAACGAAAAAAAACTTACTTGATTTTTGTAATCTTAAAATTTTTTAAAAAATTTTAAGCGAGGTTCTGGTTTTGGTATAATGAGTGATATTGTATCATTGTCCAGTAAGTAAAACAATTCTTCATCAATTTCACCGTCTAAACAACGCAAAATTGTTTTGAGGTTATAAACACGTTCACACTTCAGTCTTCGCTAATTCAATCAAAATAATAAACCTACCTCCAAAAGATGGAATCAAAGATTCCATATTCCACGACATTAATAAATTTTTAACAAACTCGTCCATTTTTTTATTCACAATTTTTTTCACTATATATAAACACGTGCGTGAAAACACAAGGACCGCAATTTAATAGGCGAAGTATACACCACAATCAGCGCATGCGCTCACATTTAATTTTTACAATATTTGATAGTAGTGACTACAATCCAAAAGCTAACATATTTTACGTCTTTGGGTAACATCTTGGATAGTAAAATGTTGATAGTAGATTCTTGTCAGTAACACAATGATAGTACCTTGTACAATCTTTCTTTTTACTATGAAATTCTTACTATCCATTTCTCTCAGTGTAGATAAATAGCTATTCAACAATGGTGTAGATTGAATCCATTTCAAATCAGGCAAGCCGACTAACATCAGATCGTAGATTTACTTGACACTGAATTATGTTATTCTATTTGAAAAAAAAGGAGACACGTATTTTTTTATTTTTCATAAAATTTATTTTTAACGAAGTTATGTGCATTTGAATGATAAAACTCAAAAAAACACATTTGAAACATTATTTTACCTGTATTTTTTTTCTTTTTAGTGTAATCGAAAATTTTTTTTTGAAAGTTGTTGGTGGTCTTGTCTTATTTAAAATCCCGTTTGAAATTTGAAAAAAGTTACGGTTACGGTTAATTTTCTCAAAAACCTCACTTTTTTTCTCACAAATTGTTACCAAAAATTTGTACCAGTATGGACGACATTCCTATAGAACTTGTTTATTAATAGAAAGCAGCTGACAGTTGCTAATTTTTCAATTAGGGATGGAGGTACACTACACTGAGAAAAAAAACTGTTGTTTTAGTGGTATAGCTATGCTATTTTGGCATAAGTTACAACTGCCCACAGAAAACTGCTGTTTTAATATGTGATACAGAGCGTTCGCAGTATCACAATGCTAAAACGGCAGTGTCATGTCAGAAATTGTCGGTACTAACGACGTTCAGGCAAAGAAAAACTGCTACTACAATTAATT